GAAACCGTGCTGAGCTATTCTTCCTCTGCAGTGAGCGACAGCTGCTTCAAGAACCTGGCTGAGGACCGCAGCGGCGTGAACCTGAAGGACCTGGTCCACGACCCCTCGCTGTGAGTCCTCATCAGCAGATCTGCAGCATGCACGTACACACATGAGCAGCATGACAGTAACTGTCATTGTGTCACTTCCTGCAGACTAGGAGGAGTCATCGCGGCCTACAAGATCGTTCCAGATGAGATCGACGAGATCAAGGTAATCCCAAAAACAGGAGTCCTTTTTTAATATCTCTGTTTGTGCCACTAAAGGGAAACGATTGAACGCTTTTTCACAGACGTGTGTCTGTCAGTGGGCGGGGTCTACGTGTAAGTGAGGTCGTCTGCAGCTCTCGTCCAGTCAGATGGCGGTAAACTGGTTTAAACCCACTGAGCATCATAAATACACGTTAAGGATTTGGATTGAAACAAATTAGAAATCAGTAAAAATTCTGAGTTGTGATGATTTCTAATCGTGTACTGACATCTGCTCCACATGCACGAGCAACGTGGCCTCTGTCTTTATGCATCACTGTGTCCACGTGATCGCCACCGCCGGCATTTCAGACTGACACGTTTCTGTTTCTCTGATTCTGTGGCTGTGATTGCGGCTGCTCAGCGTTGGTGCTTTTATTTTGGCGGTGACGAGCTATGTGTGTTTGCAGGAAACTCTGCTGGAGTGGTGCGACGAACAGGAGCTGAACCTCATCCTCACGACCGGAGGGACCGGCTTTGCTCCGAGAGATGTTACTCCTGAGGTACAGGAGGTTCAGAGGCGCGGCTCGACGGCAGACCGCGGTGTTCTAACTCGCTGTGGTTTGTCGTTTTCTAGGCCACCAGGGAGGTGATCGAGCGAGAGGCTCCGGGAATGGCTCTGGCCATGCTGATGGGATCTCTCAACGTCACGCCACTGGGCATGCTGTCCAGGTGAGCGCTCTCACTGCTCATTTACCAGTCACTGTAACGTAACGTGGCGTGCGTTTATCTTTGTAAATTCACATCTGGATCTGGAATGTTTTGGGAAACTGTCTGAATTTAATGCGGCAGCACGTCTGCCCACCGAGCTTTAACCCTCTGAGGTGATCAGCAGGTGTGTCAGAGGATGATGTCAAAGCTGTACTCGGGTCAGTTATGGAGCTCCGATAAGAAGCAGACTGTGGCAGATGTTCCTCCTGAACCTCCAGATGTGCTCCTGCATTAATGGTGCCTTCACAGTTAGTCCTGTCACGTGACCATCTTGAACTCTCGGCCTCTCTGGGAGGATCTTCTTACAGCCAATCACGTCTCTGATTCACCTGGTTAGGTGCTGTCAGTTACATTGAACGTGTCACTTCCTGTTTCTTCTGTTACTCACTGGATTCTGATGAACGGTGCAGTTTAAGTTTGACACAGTGTGGAAACGTTTGTTTTCTAACCTGCTCTGTGTGCCGTGTCCTCTCCTCTGCAGGCCTGTTTGTGGTATTCGTGGCAAAACTCTGATCATCAACCTTCCAGGAAGCAAGAAAGGCTCTCAGGTACGAGTCTGACTTTACTCTGCTCAGTCTGCACCGTGTGGATCTTTGCACTGAACTCGCCGGGTATGTCGTAAGACGTGGCGATCCAGTCAGGTGGAGCTCAGCGTTTGTGTTATTTACCGTTAAAGTAGGAAGAGTTGAACTGCGTCGTTACAAAACTACAGATGTTGGATTACAGACCTCTGTGGGTGTCTCCAACCTCCTCCCTGACCAGCTCAGTCTGAGTGCGTTCAAGCAACGTCCTGAAATGTCGAGCAGCTTTTAAAAGTATAACAGAGTCTGAAAATATAAAGTTTGACTGTCTAAGCCACCAAACGTGTGTGATCCACAGCTCAGAGTAACACAGGCTGAGTCAGGAGGACGGTGTGTCTGAGCTCAGACTCTGTGTGCACCAGTGAAACCAGTACACCTGTCACACATCACTGCAGTCCAGTTCACATGCATCTGTAAAGTGTGGGAGCTCATGGACTTCTGTGTCCCTAATGCCCACTCGCTCCGTGTTGCCGGCAGTGAGTCGGACTGTTTACAGACAGGATTTGTAGGCGGAGCCAGGTGTCTTACCTTTGTGCTCTCGAGATCTGGTGGTTCTGTTCAGGTGGCCTCCAGCTCACACAGGAGCGGTTTGCAGCGGGGATGAGAAAGCCAAAAAATGGCGGAGTGCCACCTTGAGTCTATAAAACTCAGAATGGTTGAAAGGAGCAGCTCGCCCTTCAGTGGCTGGCCTCTCCCTTACAGATGGAGGGAGGAGTTCAGACTTTTGATATGCGCTCAGAGTAGAGCTGCTGCTCCTCCACATCGAAGTTCAGATGGTTGGATATCTGACCAGGACGCCTCCTGGACGGCCTCTGGCTGAGGAGGCGTGGGGCAGACCCAGGACAGGCTTGGGAATGACTTGGATGAGCTGGAGGAGGTGGCTGGGTTTGGGATGGGGGAGTCTGTGCTTGGACTACTCGGCGCGACTACTGTTCGTGTAAACGATCCACTGTGCGTGCAGTGTCTGCTGTGAGAGTTTGACGCTATGACGACGATGATGATGAAACTTTGATTTTTCAGGAGTGTTTTCAGTTCATTCTGCCCGCTCTGCCTCACGCCATTGACCTGCTGCGCGAGGCCACGGTCCGGGTGAAATCCACGCACGCCGCCCTGGAGCAGCTGCCCTCCCCATCCCCTCTGCAGGCCAACACGTACGCCAACACACACATCAACACACACACCATGGAGCGCGGGACCCAGTGTGAGGAGGAGGATGACGAAGAGGAGGACCGGAGGAGAGGTCGGCACGCGCACAACCACCACCATCATCACCACCACCACCACCAGCACGGCTCCTCCCACATCACCGCAGCCGCCATCGCTGCCAAGGTAAGCGGTGCGCAGGCCGCACGTAGAGCGGCGGCGGTGCTGGAAGCTGCCAGATGAAAGTTTAATGATCAGTGTGGGGAAAGTGGGTCACTGCAGCAGCTACTGTACTACAGACGCATGCAGCGGCTGCTGCAGGACGCACAGAAATTACCGGGAAGCGAGCGCTCCGCGGGCAGGACGGAAGACAGGAGGCCCGCCTCCCAGTAGCGGAATGACATTTAGAAAACACTTCCTCCTCAGGGTCAGGCGGGTCATTACAGGCTCTGCCCACGGGGCATTGCAGGTTCTTATAACTGTAGAAGAAATGAGCACCAAGGAAACCCGTTTTTCAATCCGTCGTCACATTTAGATCCACAGGTCACGTGACAGAGCATCACGTGACCTGTGTCGGACGCTGTCAAGAAGTTTCGATCAAACTGGTCATTATGGCTCCTTTATAAAAGGAACAACTTGTCAGGTTTTAACACTGAAGGGGTGGCTGTAGCTCAGGTGGCAGAGCAGGTCAGCCACTAATCAGAAGGTCGGTGGTTCGATCCCAGGCTGCCTCCTGGCTGCATGCCAAATATCCTTGGGCAAGATACTAACCCCGTGTTTGCCTACTGGTGGTGGTCAGAGGGCCCGGTGGCGCCTGTGTCTGGCAGCCTCGCCTCTGTCAGTGCGCCCCAGGGCAGCTGTGGCTACAATGTAGCTTGCCATCGCCAGTGTGTGTGAATGTGTGTGTGAATGACTGAATGTAGTGTGAAGCGCTTTGGGGTCCTTAGGGACTAGAAAAGCGCTATACAAATGCAGGCCATTTACCAGGCCATTTGCCTTGGTATGGTTTTTTTTAGAGAGGAGACGACAGGAAGTGATGACGTGAGGACAGTTTTGGTTCATCGATACGTGTGTAAACATTTTAACTCGAGCATGACCTCCATCGTGTTAGGGTTTACCCGATGCAGGGATGTCCGGTGTGGACTAACTGTTGGCTTTAGTGTTCTTAGTTTGTAGCGTTCCTCTTAAAGCCACACCCCCACAATGACCGCGAACAGCTCCTGTCGTATCAGTTAATTTACAGAACGAATCCGTGTGTGTGAGCCCAGGTTTGAGCTGTGACGTGTGGAATGTTTCACTTCATCCCATCATGTCCTTCACCTGTGTGTGTGTGTGTGTGTGTGTGTGTGTGTGTGTGTCCATCAGATGAGCCATGCTGTGCTCATGGCTAAAGGGAGTCCCTACCTGCCTGGCCACACCCCTGTCCCTCCCACTCATTTCACCTGCTCCTCTGCCCATGACCATCAGGTGAGACTTCACACATGCACCTGTCCTCTCCTCTCATTGGTCAGTTCATTGTGTCAGTCACCATTCTTCATCAGCTCCTGCCTGAACTAGCTTGAAGATTATCTGATGCCGCCTTTTTTTTTTAAGGTGGACCTACTATGAGTTCCCTTTTCAGTTCAACCTATGATAATAGATGCTGGTAGTAAAAACAAATCAGAAAGTATTCAGAGTATGAAAGTAAAACTTTGCATGACTTCATTAAATATAGTAAAGTTATAAAAAGAACAGCTGATTGTGAGGGGGTCAGGGGTTATGGAGCAAGTGTTCAGCTTTGCAGCTTTAGGTTCCAATAAAACAACTGAAGGAAATCATTGGACTAGCATTGTGTGTGTGTGTGTGTGTGTGTGTGTGTGTGTGTGTGTGTGTGTGTGTGTGTGTGTGTGTGTGTGTGTGTGTGTGTGTGTAGATCCCGGACTCGATCATTTCTCGAGGTGTTCAGGTGCTTCCACGAGATTCGGCCTCTTTAAGCTCCACCCCCTCCGAGTCACCCCGGGCGACACAGGCAACTTCCCGCCTTTCCACCGCTTCGTGCCCGACACCCAAGGTACAAACAAACCTTCACACATGCACACAGACAGCACCGCTAAGAGCTCGGCAACAAAAAACGCCATTCTGCATGAAACACCAGCTTTCCTGTTTGTGCTGTATAACGGTCATAGAGCATGCCCAGTAGATGTACGCTGATTGCTGATCGAAGCCCTTTATCAAACAATGACAAGCACTTCCTGCATGATGAGAGCTTTTAATTACTTTCTTTATTTCCTAACCTCCTTCGTTCACTTCATAGAACCAGAAAAATCACATTTGATTTCCTGGCATAAAAAGCTCCAGCTTCAGGACCGAGCCAATTTATGATGAATAACAAACTCGGTGTGTTCGATTTCATTGGAGCAGAAAAACGAGTATTCACAGTTAGACTTGGTTCACGTGCCATTTTTTCAAATATCAAATACTTTCTTATTGCCAGTATCCGAACAGATTACCATGTAATTTAAAAACACGCTAAGAAAAGTTTCTTTCTGTTTGTCCCGTGGTGGTCCCTAAGGTGCTATCCTGGGTCCTCCATTATTCCTCATATACTTGTTCTCTTGTATATGTTTCCATTTTTTGTTGTTGTTGTTGTTGTTGTTGTTGTTGTTGTTGTTTTGTTTTTTTAAATCACTAGTATTTGAACTGATTGTAAAATTATTAAATCAATTACATATTCCCCAGCTTTTTGGTCACATGTTATTTAAATGAGCGCCACTAACTAATGTTAGCTTAGAAATAATTACCAAATGAACATCTCTCAAATATAAACTGTTCACACAGGGTTTAGATAAAGACTCTAGACAGCGAGTTAAGGTTAGCCAGTTATATGCTAAGTTGACTATGAAGTAGTTTGTGTGTGTTAGCAGCTAAGTTTAAATTAGCTACCATTAGCCAAAAACCTGCCAATGTAATGAATAAAAAGCTGTCTAAAATGAAACCCTAAATACAAACTGATCTGGGAGCTATATTGGTTATTTTCATGTTTCTTTGTCAGTGAATATTAGCTAATCCTTACTAGATTCATGCACTGTAGCTAAGTCATAGCTTGTTGGCTAACTTTGTCTGAACTATGCCTGAAATGAATTAAATGCTAGGTGGCTAGCTTCCCAAAATCATTTACCTGTTAAGTGAACCATTGTTATAATTTACATTTTATATAAAAATATGATTTTTGTCAAAAATTAAATGATGTAACCGTTTAAATAGATAGCAAACTAGCTTAGAGCGAGCTTGGTTAGCTAGCTGGCTGTAACTTAGCTTTACAGCTTGTAGCAGACATTTATAACATCCAGGTCAGGTGTAGTGTGTGTATGCTGCTCAGTCAGCTGTTGGACAAACATACATGACGTACAGACCATACAACAGAGAAACATGACAAAGTTGGACAGTCTGTGCATGACTCGGCATATTTTAGATGCTAACGTGTTCTGAGCAACAGATGGGTTTCTGAGGTTTTATGCCTCACCTTTTAATTTTAACTTGTGAAACAAACTTACCCCCCCCCCCCCTATCGGTAACCATCATCACAGCATCATTAGACTGTTACAGATGAGTATCTTTAGGTCAGATTTGAATATCACTGTCATTCCAGGTGTAAGCAGTGATCGTCCTGATTGAAGCTCTCGTTATGTGCATGAACTTTATTCAGGAAGTCTCGGGACGTGTGCTGTCTGTTGAATGGGAGTGAATGGGACTGATGGTTGGAAACACTCAGATCTATTGAAATGTCTTCAGTTGTGGTACATTTAAAAATAAATGACCTAAAATGTAGCATCAAATTATGCTTAAATCATCTCTGCAAAGCAGCCAATCATCAACCTTATGTACCTTTGCTTTTAGTAAGAAGACGCCGGCTTTCTGACCTCTGGTTTTAATTTGCTGTTAACATCAGCTAGGAGAGCAGAATTAAAGCTCTGGCTTATATCTGCTGTTTATTCAGCGCTCAGACTGATCTGATGAGTAAAATTAACCCGACTCGCTCTCTCGGTGCTCCTGAAATGCTTGAATGTTGCATCCAGAGTCATTGTTTATGTTTCCACATCCTGTGAATGAGATGCATGAAAAGAAAATTATTCTTTAAGATGATTTCAATCAAAATAATCTGTTTTTCTGCAGGTTCAGTCACGATGTGGCAGCAATGAGAACATACTGAGAGCCAGTGAGTTCAGTATGTGTTTCGTTTACCTTTAAAGCTCGAAAAAATAGTTTTCAGGTGTTTACAGGTGTGTGTGTGTGTGTGTGTGTACGCACTCATAGGCCACAGCGCAGTTGACATCAGTAAAGTGGCGCGTCGTCATCGCATGTCGCCCTTCCCGCTGACATCCATGGACAAAGCCTTCATCACTGTTCTCGAGATGACGCCTATTCTGGGAATTGAAGTCATTAACTACAGAGGTGTGTGTGTGTGTGTGTGTGTGTGTGTGTGTGTGTGCGCGCTGCTCTAACACAGGAGTATCGAGCCCTGCACGCCCACGTGTCCACTAACTGCTCCACCACAGAGCTGATGCTGCTGTGGTGATGGCATCTGATGGGAGAAGCATTTCAGCACCTGCACACTCTGTTTGAACCATGAATGTGTAAAAGGTTGCTCCACCTGTTTGACTTACGGAGGTTTTGGACCTGAAAGTCAATCCAGGTTGACGTCAGTCTGATCGGCTTTTCCCCGCTGTCGGTCAGCTCGTCCGGTCAGGACCGTAGCCGCCCTCCTCCGTCGTTCCTCCACAGGCCGCGAGAATCGCTCCTCCCACAGAGTTCAGATTGTAGTGAAACAATGAATTTGTCCTGGATGAGCCTCTGAGAAAGTCTTCTCTCTCTGCAGATGGTTTGGGTCGAGTTCTCGCTCAGGACATCTATGCCAAAGACAACCTTCCTCCGTTCCCCGCCTCTGTTAAAGACGGCTACGCTGTGCGAGGTGAGACTGTGGGCACCGCCTCAAACATCTGCGTTTTTTTTACCTTTTATCTGTTGAACTGAAAGCTCTAACCGACTCATGTTTGACTCGTAGCTGCCGATGGCCCGGGAGATCGCTTCATCATGGGGGAATCGCAGGCTGGACAGCAGGTCGGCTCTCACACAGCAGCGTTGTGCATAACCATCATCTGTCACCCAGATTCTGTGGGAGACGCTGCTAACCTCAGCGTTATCTATGAGCGGGCTCATGGTACACACACCATGATCGGGACAGCGTGAGCCATAAGATAAGATAAGATAAGATAACCTTTATTAGTCCCACACGTGGGAAATTTGTTTTGTGCTCAGACCGTTTAAGTTCACGTATGTGCAGAATGTAGATCAGGATCAGATTGATGCACATCACCGAGTTCATATCAGCAGTGAAGGCAGACGAGGGTCTTTAGAGCCACACGTGTCACAGAGCAGGAAGTCCTGGGAGTCGACCTCTGCAGCCAAACGCTGGCAGAATAACAGCTGCAGTTCCTCTAACGTCCACTTGAGGCTCCAGAATTTAGAAAACTTCTCATCTACTCCCGATTACTGTGAATTTCAACCTTGACTAAAAGCCTTATTACCAGATGATGTCATCGCTCTGTAAACTGTGCTTCTTGTGTTTTCAGCCCACCCACACAGTCATGCCAGGTCAGGTGATGAGGGTGACGACCGGCGCGCCGATTCCCTGCGGAGCTGACGCCGTGGTCCAAGTAGAAGACACGGAGCTGCTGAGGGAGTCTGAGGATGTAAGAACACCAGGATGAAGGTCGATGGCGCTGTGCGTGTGCCTGCTGGCTTTACTTCTTGTTCGTCTGTTACAGGGCACCGAGGAGCTGGAGGTGAGGATCATGGTCCAAGCCCGGCCCGGGCAGGACATCAGGTGAGAGAGGAACGCTTCTCAGGTCGTGGATGTCAAACGGGTGAAGGAGCAGCGTAGACACTTTGGTGCTTTTGTGTCCACGCAGGCCGATCGGTCACGACATCAGGCGAGGGGAGTGTGTTCTGGCTAAAGGCACGCACATGGGCCCGTCTGAGATCGGCCTGCTCGCCACAGTGGGAGTGACCGAGGTCAGCGTGCACAAGTTCCCCGTGGTGGCCGTCATGTCCACCGGGAACGAGCTGCTGAACCCGGAGGATGACCTCCACCCGGGGAAGATCAGAGACTCCAACCGCTCCACTCTCCTCGCCACCATCCAGGAGCACGGATACCCGACCATCAACCTCGGCATCGTCGGAGACAAGTGAGCACGTTTCCCCGCCTGTCGCTCCAGTCTGATCATTTCCTGTTCTGACATCTTAAAAAAGCTCCAGCCCCCACCCCCCAGCACGGTGCAGTCAGGGTTTAATCTTTCATCCACCCTCTGAGGTCCACAGGTCCCTCAGTGGGAAATCTGAAATCTTCCACTCGAGTCCGACCTCAGTCTGTATCCTGAACTTCCTGTGACACCCGTGTGTCCTCTCTCTGCAGCCCTGACGACCTGCTGTCAGCTCTGCACGAGGGAATCAGCCGTGCTGATGTCATCATCACCTCAGGGGGTGTGTCCATGGGAGAGAAGGTACAGTAACTTCAGTAACTTAACTAACTTCAGGCCACGCCCACCTGCTGAGAGTCTCAGCTGCAGTACCAACTGCACGTTCGCTCAGGAAGTGAAGCAGGACTGGGCGGACTTCTTCGCCGCTGCTACAGGAGGTGTGTCTCTCTGTGGAGTGAGACCGTAGAGAGAGCCGAACGTGAAGGCGGAGCTGACGATTTACAGTCTTTCATCAGCTCTGACCGCGAGCCGTCACTCCTAATCGAGCTGAGGGCCAGGTGAGGCAGCAGGTGGGCGTGGCCTAAAGTATCTCAGTGCAAAGCTCACTGATTGAGTGACGCACTGAGCAGATGTTCTGATCGTCAGTGTGCAGGAAACCTGACTGTGTGTGTGTCTGTGATCAGGACTACCTGAAACAGGTGCTGGATATCGACCTGCACGCACAGATTCACTTTGGCCGAGTCTTCATGAAGCCAGGGTAAGACGGAGCCGAGACTTCCTGCTTTAGTCCCAGAACTTAAGCACCACAGTCACACCTGTGTGAAATACCCGAGAGCTTAAAGCTTCAGGCGGCTGTTAATGAGCCTCACCTGTGGCTGCAATGTTAGTCTGTTCACTGAAGTCACAAATGTTTCTTCTGATAGCTGAAGGAGTTCCTCACTGCAGGTACTCGCAGTACTGCAGGTACACCTGACGGCTGATACCTCAGTCTCTGCCTCTGCTCACGCTGCTCTGTGTTTCTGTCCCTCAGTCTTCCCACTACCTTTGCCACAGTCGACATCGACGGGACACGAAAACTCATCTTCGCCCTGCCAGGTAACATATTAACCCTGCTGTGTAATTCACCTGCCTTTGAAGCGTCCTCGGGTCGTCCCCACAGACGCCTGTGATCAGAGTCACGATTCCTGATTGTGGATCCCAAAGCGAAGCAGGAAGCTTGAGAGCGTCCTGAGCCCAGACTTTAACCTCCTGGAGACCAGAAAGCTTCAGTGCAGGCTGAACGTCAGCAGCCTCCACAGAGATGGGCTGAGAATTAGCAGTTACTTCATGTACTTCACAGTACAATCATGTACTTCACAGTACATGATTGTACTGTGAAGTACATGAAGTAAGGAAGGAAAAAAAATGAATACAAATCAACAGATGACGCAGACACTCTTTCAATGTTTCGTATTTGTTGCAGGCAGATACGTGCATCTTAAAATAACTCCTCACAGTAAGCTCCATAAATGTTCCAGCAGCGCCTCGTCGACACGAGTAACTCCAACCGACCATGTTTATGACATCATTCAGAGGCCGCTCGTAAATGCGCCACATCATGTTATCGAGCTTCTGCACCATCATCACACGTGGTCTGTTTATTGTTTCCAAGGTAACCCAGTGTCCGCTGTGGTGACGTGTAACCTGTTTGTGATTCCTGCTCTGAGGAAGATGCAAGGCATTCTGGATCCTCGACCTACAATCATCAAAGCGAGGGTAACACACACACACACACACACTCTCTGAGGTCATGCTGTAACCCTGCCTGCAGGTCAAGGTGAACCGAGTGTTTGATGCATCGCTCGGGTTACATAACACAGTTATTGTTGATGAAAGTCTGCTGATGCCACTGTTCTTCTCTTCAGCTCTCCTGTGACGTTAAGCTGGACCCCCGGCCTGAGTACCACCGCTGCATTCTCACCTGGCATCACCAGGAGCCGCTGCCCTGGGCTCAGAGCACAGGTGAGTGCGCACACACACGGTGATGGTGTGTACCGTCAGTCATTGGTGTCTAAGCGTTGCTTCCTGTTTCCTCCTCGCCGCGGTAAACTCTGGCCTCTTCTCGTCCACACGATTAACTTTATTGATCACATCATGGAACCGTCATAAAGATGTTGCACACGTTCATACAGCATCGCGCTGTTCAGCTTCCTCACTGCACTTGGCCCAAATGAGCCGTTACGCTTGTGTCCTGTAGCGCCGCCCTCAGAGCTTTACATCAGCTCGTCCAATCAGGTTTGTCGACGGTGCTGAGCGGTTTGTCTGCTCTGAGTCCAGCTCACGGATACTCGCTCCAAAGTCTCTGAACCTGCCAACGAGGACTCATCTCCAACCGGCTTTCTTGGAGACGGAATCGACGTTTTCTCCTAAATTCATCGTTGGTGTTTCCGGATACCTGAGGCTTCCGCAGGGCGTCCAGTGACGCGCCGTCGCAGGCCCATCCATCACGCTGGCTCTGTGGTCGACATCAGTCAGCTGATTTATGTCAGAGGCGTCGTAAACGAGCCTCTTAAATGTTGTTCTAACCGCTGCCTCGGTCAGCATCCTGTCAGTCATCTCACTTGGGTAACGCGACTGACCACACCCCTCCTCCCTGCAGGTAACCAGGTGTCCAGCAGGCTGATGTCCATGCGCAGCGCCAACGGCCTGCTGATGCTGCCCCCTAAAACAGAGCAGTACGTGGAGCTGCACAAGGGAGAGGTCGTAGACGTCATGGTCATCGGACGGCTATGATGCAGGTACGGCGGCTCCACGGACGCACTGAGCACGTGCGAAGCGTGTGCTTTCTGTTAACACTTCTTTTTCTCTCCAGACTGAAACGTCACTCGCTACCGATTACCATGGCAACGCCAGGACTTCTTGTCTGCACAGGAAACAGCCGGGGTGGGGGGCGGGAAGTGGTGCATGTCTACCTGGTCGCCATTAGCTGTGATGTCATATGCAACAGCCAATCGGAGCCAGCGCAGGCTGAGTCCTCATTGGTCTGCTCTGAGGAGATCACTGTATTTCAAAGGAGAAAAAAAATGTGAAAAAATATACGAAATATGAGATTTATTCTGTAATATTATTATTATCCTGATGATAATGATTATTAATATTCTTAATTAATATTCTATTTATTATTATTATCATGGTTCTGACTGAATATCATCATCTTAGTAGTATTCATGCCCTCTTCTCTCCTCTTCATTTGCTTTGTGCGTTTTTCCCGGGTAGATTAGAGACATAGAGACCCTCCTCCTCCTTTTTCTACCCTTGCTCTGCTCTGGCGTCCTCTCTCCTGCTATAGAAACCTGCCGTTTCACTACGTCTCCTCCTGGATCACACAGACTCCAACATCAGCAAAACACGGCTGATGAAGACGTCCTCCGAGTGAACCTGCTTACGTTGTTTGTGCCACTGAATATTTTCTGCCAAACAACGAAAAAGAAAAGAGAACAAGCTGCAGGCGTCCTCTGGTGTTCCTTTTTTACCTTTCTGCAGATTCAACCCTCTCAAACATCTGGAGACATCTCAGCGAAGCCATGAAATCGTCCTCGGTGGGTCAGCGGCTCGTCTTTGGGGCGCCGAGCGATTTCTCCGCTCCGATATAAACGCGATAAAGACGTCTCTGATCGCGGTCGTATCAAGGCTGCGCCACACTGGCGGTTCAGTCCAACCCTGCGTTCAAGTGGTGTTCGACCAGAGTGTGACGTTTATGTTAAGGTAGCTCCAGAACCTCTGGGCTCACCTGGAGTGTCGGGCGCGATTACATGATTACTCCACATTTGCGTCTGGAGCTCTGGGTGTGGGATTTGTCCTTTCACTCGCTCTGATCAGGCTGTCCAATCGGGAGTCTTTATTCAGATTTTTACCCACGACCGCACGTGCAGGAACTGACCGATTTGGCAAGTTCGGAGAACAGATGCGATTCCCGGTTTTCCCATCTGCTTGCATCACTTGAAGGCAGGGTGTCACATTCAGGTGCTTGTAACTACACCACGTGTATTTTTGCCATGACGGTGTTAAGGTGCTCGTTATGGTCGGTTCGAGGATGTAAATCAAAACGTCATCTGACCGCCGTTCTCTCCGCGTACTGTATGAGCGTGCAGAAACCCTCCTTTGACAGTTCGCCCACTACAAACGCAGAAGCATCCGAGCTGCTCGCCGTAGATCCTGCTGATAAATGTTTACCGGTTACCAACAACCAGAAGCGTCCTGTGAGATCTGAGAGCCCCAACGCAAACCGCCCACTTCCTCTCATCCTTCCCGTTGAACCGGTTTTCCTGCAGCGCGGTGTGTGATGTGTAATCTAGAGCCAGCTCATATTTACCCAAGTTTCCCAAAGTCCATGTTGGTGGTAAAATGGGAATACGGTTCTTCCTGCTTTGACCCGTTTTCCACCGATGTGGTACCGGGGTGCTACTTCATCAGATCTTAACCAATAAAAAGTGCCACAAAACCACTGGCACCTCAAAATCAGCGGTCCCAAAGCGCCCGTTTCTGATGCTTGGCATTCCAGCCTGTGAGACAGAGTCTGGTTTGCTGCATCCACACCAACAGCTCTGCTTTGGAAATCAGGTGGACAACTCATCCTGTTACGACCTTTTTCCAACAACTCAGTGCCGCTGCCTCACCCAGACCCCAGTCCTTTCTGGGTTGTCCCGTGGTTGGATTCGTGGATCAATGGTGGGAGTGGGAACTGCACGAAATTTCTCTTCTTACTACAGACGTTACCCCGGCTCGTGCTACCTAATGTTCTGGCACTGCGTTTGTGGGGAAAAAGGATCCGATTCTTCCTGTTGGGACTTCTTTTCCACTGGTGTGGTACTGCTGCTAAATCTAGAAGCAGGTTATTGACTTTGCACTGAAATGACGGTTTCCCAAACATTGTAGCCCACAGTTGGACTCACAGAGGTTACCACTGATTGGCCGAGGCAGCTCACAGTGGTGCTTGGTTCTCAGCCTGTTCTGGGAGAGAACCCAGGCAGAACCAGCTCTGTAACTTCTTCCTGTGAGGCTCTTCACCTCCACTCTCAAAACCAACCAAGAGCCGGCACCACGTCAGTGGAAAACCTGAGTTAAATATGATCAACCAAACCCACAGGTCAAAGGTCAGGCGCTGCATTCAGGTCATACTGGAGTAACTGCTCTGTCTGATTTTAACAGTACCGACACGGCGTCCTGAATGCAGCGTGGCTCGTTGTCCTGAATTCCCCCCCCTTCTTGTCACACCTGCATGCCCATAAAAAAGGGGGCGTGTCTTTCCTCTTTGGGCAGGTGTGATTCCAGGCGTTAGAGTGTGGTGCAGCACCTGGGCGGGGCTTCTGATCTGACTAAACGTGACGCTGATGCTCTGGTGCCAACACTATCTTTAAGTCCTCTGGCTTGGTTTCCAGAAACTTCCCAGTTACCTCAAATGCACCGTATATATACAGCATATATGAGTGGCTCGTGCTGCGTCCGTGTCACATGGGAATGGCGTGATGATGTTTGGCTGTTCGTTCAAAGAAATTCCTAAAATAGTAAATAATGCTTGCCGTTCGGCAGCTCGCGTTTACGGCAGCTCACTTACGACACAAACGCAGCATCAGCGCGCGTCCTGCCGCCTGCCCAAGGAGGACCAATCAAACCCAGATAGATCCATCAGAGCGAGCAGAAGCAGGTTGTTGAGAAACTGCCTTTGTACCGAGTGATTCGTAACACTGGGCTGAACTCAGTGTCACACTGCACACACTATAAACTATGACCAGCACTTGTAATGAAGCAATGACACAGCATTCTACTACTACTGTATAAATATGATGAAGAGGATGTTTTTCTGTAATATTATTGAACCTGAAGATGAATTAATAAAAATAATCCTGATTATTCTGTAACTGCTGTTCGGCTCGCTCGCTTCATTCATAACAGCACTCGTCTGAGAGCGCTTCACGCTGTCAGGGACGGTAAACGTCACATCTTGTCAGTGTGAAGAGCTTTAACTGCACATTTAATCCCTCAAATAATTTAATCTGAGAGAAAAGCGCTGTTTTTCTATATGATAACACAATGCTGATGTAGGAAATGAAAGACCTCTGTCAGGTGTAGACTTAAAGAAACAGCTCTGGTCGCTCATTTCCCAGATTCGCAGTAATTATAAATAAAGTTTTGCAATAAATTATGAAGAAATGTGAACTTTTCAGATAAACCATTATTAGTCCCACATGTATGACATTTGTTTTTTTCAGAACATCAAAAATGTTATTATGATGAAATATTTAAAAATAAGAATTTTTCTTAGATTCTTTTCCCATAATATTACCTTTTTATAAATAATGAGTACTTCAGGCTTCCATACTGCATGTTTAAAGGCAGGTAGGAACCATCCAGCAGGAACCTTTTGTTGCTGCGCTCGTTCTCCTCACCTGAACATTCGTCACATTTTTCTCTCAAATATAAATTTTTATTCGTGTTTTGAGTTTAATAAAATTATTGATTTTAATAACTGAATATTAAGCTTAGTTTTAGCCTCATGTTGAACGTGTTTATTTTTTTTAATTTACATGAAAAATCGCAAAAATATCGGAGAGAATCTGCTGCTCTGTACGCATGCGTCCTTCAGTCCGTCACTCGGAGGTTCCCCTCAGGCAGCTCGGAGCTCTGGTGAAAAACTGTCCTCCTGCTGCTGTAAAGGGAAACTGAGCGCTGCTGCTCGGGAGGCTGCAGAAGAACATCTCCAGGAGAACAGAGGGACCCTCGTCAGAGGGCGGGAACAAAGCGCTAACCGGGCTAGCCGTTAGCAGCAGCAGTCCGTTTAAACGTGCTGTTTTATCAGGTAGGTTTGTTCATCATGTCACTAAATTCCGGGTAACCTCTGCTATCTGAAGCGTTACTAAACCAGCCAACCTAAGCTGAACGGTACACCTGTAAGGTCACATTGAAAGAATAACACGTGAGCGCCGGAGGAGCTTTAAAAGAGGCGGACCACGAAGTGCGCTAAAAATGGAGGATTTATGAATGGAGTCTGGTATGTTAGCATTACTGCTAATTGTCGCCCTGTTTCCCCTCCCACACCCTTCTCCTCCCACAGAGTCCGAATCATGGCGGTCCAGGTGTCCGAGTCCGACCAGATCAAACAGGTAAGTGACCCCAAGAGTTTTCATGTCGACTCTGAGAAAAGAGGCTCAGAATTCAGAGGCACAAAGTCCGGTTACTGTGGCCTCCAGGGTCCATAGAAAGCCCGCACTGAACTATACAGCAAGGAGGCCTGTGAGGGACAAAACAGGAGAGAGCGACAGAACCGTAGGTAAAAATAAATAGATAAAAATAGAATCAATCAAAACAAACTCAAATACCGTCAATGCCAGAACACTGTGGCAGCTTATTGGGACCAATACTGGAGTGAGAATGTGTGGAGATATAGATATAGATGTATATCTATGTGCAACAGAAAGTGCACATGTAAAACTGCAGTGTTAAGCGATGCGGTTGAAAAATTTGGGTGCGTCTAAGAAAAACATTTAGGCGCACCAGTGCAACCGTGGCAAAAAGTTAGTCTAGAGCTCTGCATATTATATATTTTAATTTGAAATAATAAGATTAGTATAAAGCAAGAAAATACAACCGAATCACAATTTAGACATGGAAAAAGTAAGAAAAACATTTTAGGTCAAAAGATAAAGTTTAAGAAGTTAACTTCGTACAAAATCAAGTGATACAGGATGGTACAATGGTTTAAAAAGTAAATAAACGTAAAAACAGCAGAGTCTGAGGAAAGCATGACAAACATTTGAGTATTTAAACAATTAAAAAAGACTGAAAAAAACAAAAGGAATTTATCTGAAAGTTTTTTTTTATTATGACATCATAATCCCAAAAGTCGCCCCGTCAGTTGACCTGGACGTTTTCAGCGGAAGAAACATTTGAATTCATACATTAATGAGAAAAGTTCTTTAAACTAAAAGTCACAGCTTTGATCCAGTGGCATCTCTCTGATCGTTTTAACCTGCAGCAGGAAGCCTCTGTCGCACACGCAGGTCTGAGTTAATACATTTGAGCTCCCACCTTGGCTCTTTAGAGCAGCTTCACAGTCTTGGAGCACTTTGAAGAAAACCAAAACTGTTGACTGCATCAGTAAAACTGAGCGTGCCTGAAGCAGCGAGAGGACGGAGGTTAAAACCTGTTTGAGGAAATTTCTTCCCAGACCTGAACCTCGGATCCTTCTCGGTCGTCTCTCAGATTTTTTTGCTGAGTTGCTGCTCTGCAGCCGTTTTCTGAGCCGTGTCTGTTTCCTGTGTTCAGTTTAAGGAGTTTCTGGGGACGTACAACAAGGTGACGGAGAACTGCTTCATGGACTGCGTCCGAGACTTCACCACAAGAGACGTGAAGCCCGAGGAGGTAAAAAAAGATGATTGGATGACGGAAACATGTGAGTGAAGGAACATCTGGATAAAATCTTCACAGTCGTTTGTGTTTCAGTCGAGCTGCTCCGAGTCGTGCCTGCAGAAGTACCTGAAGATGACTCAGAGGATCTCCATGCGTTTCCAGGAGTATCACATCCAGCAGAACGAGGCTCTGGCGGCTAAAGCTGGCCTGCTGGGACAGCCGCGCTGACCCTGAACCTGGGCCAGGCCGGGCCGTGCTGGTCCAGCAGATCCTCCGGCGCTGTAAAAACAGACTCTGAAGCTGCGCGTGAGGACGTTTTGTTGTAGTTTCTGACCTGAAGCTCCGCCCCCTCAGATTCTATCTGCAGGGTTAGTCGGCTGTTCTGTGCATCATGGGAAATGTAGTTTCAGATTCTTTAACATGCAGAATATTCATTTAATGTGCACATTTGTCTTTTTATTGAACACAACGACCGACCAATGTGGTGGTGATGATGATGATGATGATGAGCTGACTTCATTTTTCATGTGTGGAAATAAAAATAATCCGACATCAGGAATGTGTGGATGTTTTCATCCCTGTTAGGAAGTGCTTTACTGCATCCGGCCTCACTCTGGCTCTGCTGCAGATCACACAGTCCTGAGAAACGTTCATTTTCTTTTTGTTTACTGTATTTTTAACAACATGCAAAAGTAACAAAGGTACTCAGTTACTTTTAAAGTGTTTTGCCTGCATTTAACATGAAATGTACTTTGTCTTGCATCCTGATTCAGATCATTACCAAATACAATCAAACTCAGAATGATGAGGTCAGATTCTGAATGCAGGTCTTTTATTTTGAGTGTTTGGATTGTGATGTTCGCTCAGTGTGGAGCAAACTGCTTTAAAGACAAGTGCGGTTTCATCAGGATGGACCCGTTTCTATTCAGTTTGGTTTTTATTGAAAAGTAAAAACTAAAATCTTTGTCGTTTTACATTTTTGTGTGGACTTCCTCTGCTTTGTTATTTTAAAAGAAGTCTGTTCAAAGTTTTTCCTTCATTTTGTTCCCAAAGTGAAGGAGGAAGTCTTTCCTGACAATAGAACCATGAGGCAAATGGAGTTTAGTTTGGTCTTTATTGGCTTTTTTCTGTACAGCTCGGCATGAACGGTTTCACATTGCAACAGGAAGTCCAGCACGGCGGCTGACAATAAATAACAAGATGACTGACGGCTCGGTCACCAATTCAGTGACAACGATCAAACGGGAAGTGTGAAGCCGGCCCAAGCAGGCAGCCGGAGCACGGAGAGAAGAAGAGCAGCGCATCCTCGGAGCATCAGTCGTACTCGGCGTCTTTGTCCGACTTCTGTCCTGCGAACGGGCGTCTGTTCCTCTGAACCTGCAGCTGGAAACACACCAAACAGTCAGAACATCTCACACCTTCACCGCCACAGCCGCCGTCTGTGAGGGCGGGGACACTGAGCGATCAGAGGCAAAACTTCTGCAAACGTGCAGAAGATGACATCATAAAAGTGATCTGGTTTAATCCAGATGATCGGAGGAGCACGGAGGTTTTCTGACTTGACCACTGCTGCTTCAAAGAGACCACAGCGACTCCATTACCCAGAAGCCCTTGCTTTGGTGACATTGGTCTTACCTTGGCGCCCTCGAGCACGTGCGGGTCCTTCTGCAGAGCGTTGTTGAGTCCTTCCTCGGAGGAGAAGCCGATCCAGCAGAAGCCTCTGTGGAAGCCCGTTTCTTTATCCTGAGGATACACAGAGACGTCACTGACGTGCAGGCGCAC